GTGTCTCAGTGGAGACTCCAATAGGGTAAAGCTACCAGGAGCATGAATCACACATCTGGAAAAGCCATGTACATGCCAAACATCAAGGTAGCCATGTGAACCTGCAAAGCCCTATGAATGGGGCTACCCAAGGCCTTTGGGGCCATTTGCCTGCTCAGCATTAACAAGATTCCAGATTTCCTAGAGCTTTAAAAATTAATGTCTGCCACACTGCATTTCACTCCTCCTTTGGTCTGATTATTCCTCTATATTTGCCTATTTCTTCCTTTTGGATTAGGAGGGTTTACCGTGCACCTATTCCACCACTGTAGGCAAGTAAATTGTGTTTTTTGTTTTGTTTTGTTTTTACAGAGGCTCACAGCTAAAAGAGTTTGCCTTGAGTCTCAGAGGAGACTTTGGACTTTGACTTTTGAGCAATACTGGAACAAGTTAAAACGTTGACCCATGAAAAGAATACACTTTGCCTTGTAAGGTGGACAAGAGGTCAGGGGACCAAGAATGAAATACTATGGTTTGAATGCGGATTGTAGTCAAGAATTCATATATTGAAGGCTTGGTACCTATTATGGCAGTGTTGAGATGGTAAAACTTTAAGAAGTCAAACCTAGAGGGAGGTCACTGGGGTTGCTGCCCTCAAGAGAGCAAATTGTTGGGAGTGAGCCTAACCTGTGAATCACTATTTGGCTTTCTATTAAGCAATGTGATCTCTCCCTCTTTTAAATGCTTCCACCAAAATTCAATATGCCTTAAAGAGGAATGAATGAAATTTGGCCTTTACCTTATACCATTATGCAAAAAAAAAAAAAAAAAAAACACCAAAAAAAATGAACCAATGGAGCTGCCTGTTCTTGGACTTTCAGCCTCCAAAACAGTGAGCTACGTAAACCTCTTTTCTTTAAAAGCATGCCACCAGTGTTTTATTATAGTATTGCAAAATGGAGAACACAACCAGCAAATAAATTCAGTGCTTATATAAGCAATATAGAGGATCAACATGCACAAATCAGTTGTCTTTTTTTATACCCAGAGCATTTAATCCAAAAGTGAGATTGAGTTCCACTTACTATAGCAGCAAAAATAATAAAATACTTAGTAATAACCAAGGAGGTAAAAAGTCTGCACACTGAAAACCATAAGACACTGAGGAAGACAAAAATAAATTTAAAAATATCCCATGATTATGGAATGGGAGAATTAATATTGTTAAAATATCTTTACCACCAAAAATGATACACAGATTCAATACAATCCCTTTCAAAATTCCTATGACATTTTTCACAGAAATGAAAAATTTGAAAATTTGTATGGAATCACAAAAGACAACAGACAAAGCAGTCTTGAGGGGAAATAAAAGAAACAAAGTTAGAGGCATCGAACTTCCTGATTTCAGATACAGTAATCAAAACAGTACAGTACTAGTACAGAGACAAAACAGAAAGCCCAGAAATAATCCCAAGCATATATGGTCAACAAAATTTTTACAAGAGGAGGAAGAATACATAAAGGGGAAAGATGAGTTTCTTCAATAAATGGTTTTGAAAAAAAAATGATTTATCTTCTTGCAAAAGAATGAAATTTGACCTTTACCTTACACCATATGCAAAAAAAAAAAAAAAATGGATAAAACTCAACATCACTAATCATCAGAAAAGCGGAAATAAAAACCAGAGTGAGATATCACCTCATACCAGGTAGGATGACTATTATGAAATGGGAAATAGATAACAATAGTTGGAAAAGATATAAAGAACAGGGAATCCTAAGGCATTGTTAGTGAAAATGTTAGTTGGTATAGTCATTATGGAAAACAGCATGAAGTTCCTCAAAAAATTAAAAAAAGAATTAACAAATGACCTAGCAATAGCTTTTTAAGGGCATATACTCAAAGGAAATAAAATCAGTACCTCAAAGACAGATTTGTGTTCTCATGTTCATTGCAGCATTATTCACAATAGCCCAAATATGGAAGAAACTTCATAGAGTCCATCACAGATGAATGGATAAATCATGGTGTGTGTGTGTGTGTGTGTGTGTATTACTGTAAATACATATTATAATTATTGTGTTAACTTTTTGTCACTGTAACAAAAAACAACTTTGAAAAGATTTATTTTATTCTGGCTCATTTATTTTGGTCCATGTCTCCTTGAATCCATGCTTTGGGCCTGAGATGAGACAGAACATTATGACCTAAGAACATGGAGAAAGAAAGCTGTCCAGCACTTTGACAGCCATGAAAAGGAAAACAGAAAAGAGAGAGAAAGGACTAAGGATGTATCCCTTGGGGGCATGCCCTTAGTGACCTATTTACTCCATTAGGCTCCACTTCCTATACCTGCCAATACCTCCATATAGTCCATCCAGTTATAAACCGATCAATGGATTGATTGATCCATTGATGAAATCAGAGATCTCATGATTGAAATACTTCCCCAAAACCCCACGTCAGAAGTTCTGCTGCTTTGAAGATCAAGCCTTCAACATATGAACCTTTAGGGAACATTCCAGATTCAAACCATAACTAGGGATAAATGGATAAGTAAAAGAAGTATATACATACAACCTGGTATTGTTCAGCTCTAAAAAGCTGTCATATACACTCAACATAGCTAACTCCTGAGGACATTTTACTAAATTAAATAAGCCATTCACAAATAACAAATACTGTATGATTCCACTTATATGGGATACTTACAGTAGTCAAAAATCACAGAAACAAAAAATGAAATGGTTGCTGTGGGAACCAAGTGGAAAAAGGAATGGGGATTTATGAATATGAATGAGAATCTACTTCATAGCACTGAACTGTACACTTAAAATTTAAGATAGTATGATTTATGTTATATGCATTACACCACTATAAAAATGGAGGTTAAAAAGAAATTTAACATGTGAAATCTGAGTCTCACAATGAATTCACAAAGAGGTAGTATTCAAAAAGGGTATCTGAAGAGATAATGGTTGAAGTATTTACAAAACTAGAACAACAAAACAAAGATTGAAGAAGCTCAAAGAAACTTTTAACATACCTGTATTTTGCCAAATACCTACAGAAACATAGTAAATCTTGCTTCTTCTCCTTACATTTTTTGGGGGAGGATGTTAAACCCAATATTTCAATTTTTATTATTTGGAGTATTCAGCACTGTGTTGTTCAATATGATAGCCGATGCCAACACCTATCTACTTAAATTTAAATTTAAGGAAATGCAAATTTTAAAATTCAGTTCTTTGATTACACTAAACATATTTCAAGTGCTCAGTAAAAATATCTGAAGACTGTCTATCAAATGGACAGTACAGATATAGACCATTTACATCACTGCAGAAATTTCTATTGACTATGCTAGCTTACAGCATTTATATTTAACTTGTTATATGGGTTACGATTTTTATCTATTATGCTATTTGTTTTCTAATTGTCAGATTTTTTTCATTCTTTTTTGTTTCTTTTCCTTCCTTCCTTTTCATTAAGTACTTTTATGATTCCATTTTCTCTGATATTGGCTTGCTATTATGTCTCCTGGTTTTATTAAATATCTTTAACTCACCAGTCTCTCCAGATAACACTATACTATTTCAACTACAAGTAATAACATTTACAACAACAAACTTCCTTTTCTTTCCCTGCCCCTTCCATCTTTTCTACTATCGTGGTCACATATTTTACTTCTCTATAGTAAAATACACAATGCACTGTTATTATGTATGACCATTTCCATGATCTCTCAGGTGTTTATTTTTATGAGAAAACTGGAAAACGCAAAATCCTGTGAAAGACAAGTTGCTATTTTAAATATTTTATCTTCACTGATATTAAAAGTAAACATTTTAAAAGAAATTTAGAGATACTGAATTCAAGTTCTTGGTAATTTGGCAAGAGATTTTTAAAAATCAATGTGTACACCACATCTAACATTTTTACATCATAAAATACAATATTCTCTATATTTGATAACTTTACTACCTCAAGGTGGGTTTTAGGTTTTGTTTCAAATCCCACAGACTTGACACCTATAGATTAAGGGACTTCAAAAGAACACAGAGTTAGAGACGTCTAGGCTTAAGCTCTATCCAACATTAGATAAGTAAACAATACATCATTTTAATTGTAAGTTTATCTTGGAATCTTTAGGATAACATGTAGAATGATATGCTTCAAGTTCAAAATTTTAATTTTGAAAATGTATGTAGGTTTTATTATTTATTTCATCTTTCCTGTTTCTGCTGTTAGGGTCTTTTGTTTTGTCCACCAATTACTTGGCCTCACTATAACCATTATTTCTTTTCATATAATATTCTTTAGACTATTTTCTTCTATTAAGAAACAAGAGATTATGGATCAACCTTTCATTCAAAAGTTTACATTGAAAAGCCAGACCAAAAAATTACTTACTCCATCCAGAAATATTTGTGTCTGTATCTTTCAAGAATAGAAATATACATTTATTTCCATAAGACAGACTGTGACCATTTCCATCATTCACAGTAGTCATGATTCCAGATTTATTTCCAAAATAGATGCATATAATATGGCAGGTGAGCCACTGGGCCAGACCTACATTATACCTTTTGACAAAATATATTTTGTGGCTCATGTCTTATAAATGTAGTTTCACAGTAGACAGCAAACAGTGAATAAATCTATCCTTATTTCATGGCAAGGAGCCCAACTCATATTTTTACTGACTTACTATAGACTAAGTTAAGACCCAGTTTAAAAAAAAAAAACATGGTGAGCTGAAAATGACTACCCACTTCAACATGCCTGCCAAGGACAGCCCTAAGAATACTACATTCCAATTCTCAAGAAACCTAACACCACTGCTAGAATATTAATGTACTAAATAAAATTTAGTATTAAGCACTGCTTATTTAAAAAAAAAAAGACTTAAGTTCTATAAACTCAAAATCTAAGAATGTCTAAGTGTGAATTAAAAATATCATCAAGAAAGCCCTACACTTCAGTTCCTCAATGCAAAGTTCTTTTGGACACTTACCCAAGTCTTCCCAGCATCTCAAGCTCAGGAACATTTGGTCCACATGTCTCTATTTGCAGTGGTTGGTATTCATAGAGAGCTTCTTCAAGCTTATGAACAGGTGCCAATGAAATATGTTGACCCTATTTTAAAAAGGAAGGAAATTGGTTGTCTTTTAATATTACTTTCATACTGTTAGATAATTGTAGTCATTTCAAAGATGGACTGAATTCCTCATATTTAAAAACAATATCCATTAGGAGGTTTTTCAAGATAGTGAAATACAGAAAGTTGCTGTCCTGGCTGCTCCATAGCATAAAACCAAGAAAGCAGATAGGCAGCTTCTTGGCTGAATGAAAAAAAAGCAGAGGATGAGGGAGACTTTACTGGAATTTAATATTGGACACTCAAAACAGATCAAGGACTCAGGAGGTTGGATATAATAAAATAAGGAAAAACTCCCCAGCACTGCAGGTGTTGCCATGGCCAGAAGCACCACTGGAAGCAGTCCCTCCATAAGCAATTTGGAAAAATAAGGGAATCATAGGAACCTGCATTTTTAGGAAGACTGAGTTATGTCTGCGTATGGAGAGTTTAGAGATCAAAGACACTGCCAGACTAAACTGAAAGATGGCTGCACAATATCCTTGGGTGAGAAAGAAGCCGCCATCTCTCCAGGCTGCATACAGAGGACAGAGGAAGGAACCATTTTGTAGCCACGGTGCAGGGGGACAGCAGCAGAGGGAGCTGATTCCTGGCAAACCCACGTTTGAGCCAAAACACAGGACTGGTAAACTCACATTGCATGACACAGAGTGTGCCTAAGTGAGCAAGAGAAAATCAAATGTGAGAGAGGTTTATACAGAGAGACGACTGGTCATGGAAACAAATCCAGATCTTCCCCTCCCCCTCCAATCCAGGTGCTTATGGGATGCATTAGTAGAGATGGGCTTTGCTAGGAATTCAGAAGGTCTGGGGCAGGAGAGATTGAGTTTGGAGGCTGAACCTGAGACCAGAAAGCATGGGGTCCACAGAAGACAGAGTAAAACTGGTTGCTCCACCACCTGAGTGGAACCCAGGGGCAATCCCAAGGGTAGAGTCTTCCAGCGTGAACCAGCAATTGCTGGGCCATGGAGGAGTGCTGATTTAAAATCTCCAGACCAACTGGCATTTAGCAAACAGCCTGAAGCCTACCAAAGCCTAATTCCTGCCTCCAGAGTTCCACCTATAGGATTACCTCTCTCACCCTTCAGGGTGTGGTTACATAGCACTGTTGAGAAGGGAAGCTAAGAATCTTCTGAACTCCAAAGGAAACAATTCTTTAACTTTTCATTGAGATTTTTTTGTTGTTGTTGTTCTTTTTTACTTTTCTGTTTAATTCTGACCTTAATGGTGGAATGGTTCATGGACATTTATATAATTTCACAGTTGTTGTTTTTTCTCCTCATTTCTAGCATTTTTGAAACCAGTCATTTTTCATGGACCAGTTTTTTGAGGATTAGGATGTTTGATTCATATCTTTCAGTTTTGTTTGGTATTGTTTAATTTTTTTATTTTTAACTTTTCAAACACCAATTCTGTCCTCTCCCTGTCTACCAGTTGAATTGTGAACTCTTTTGCAAACTTACTGTTTTTATTGTAGGCAATAAGTGATCATTTCTATTTATTGTGACAATGCTATAGACATCATAACAAGAACTTTTTCATTTAATGTTACATATTATTTGCATTAATTATTATTATTATTTGTCTTCCCATAAACAGTAGGGCACTGGAAACCTTCAGGGACACTACAAGTCTACAGGGTAGAAATTCTACAGCCTCGGATCCATACTGTTAGATGGGTAGACACACAAACAGCATAAAAACTCAAGGGAACAAATTGACCCAAACAAACCAAGATACTTCAATAATGGAATCCATCGATGTGACAGTGGAAGAAACATTCAAAGGAGTTTAAAATATACAAGTTGAACTAATCTATGAGAAAAAGAACACTGTAAAGAGTGAAATCAGAGAGAAAATATAGGAGATGAAAGATCACTTCAATAAAATAAAGCTGACCATGAAAATAAAGATAACCATGGAGAGGAGTCCCTAGATATCAAATCAGAGACACTGCATCTGATAGAAGAAAAAGTTGGCTACGATCTACATACTGTGGGGTCAGGCTCCAAATTCCTTAATAGGACGCCCATAGCCCAAGAGTTAATAACAAGAATAAATAAATGGGACTTACTTAAACTAAAAAGTTTTTTCTCAGCAAGAGAAACAATAAGAGAGGTAAACAGAGAGCCTACATCCTGGGAACAAATTTTTACCCCTCACACTTCAGATAGAGCCCTAATATCCAGAATATACAAAGAACTCAAAAAATTAAACAATAAGATAACAAATAACCCAATCAACAAATGGGCCAAGGACCTGAACAGACACTTCACAGAGGAGGACATACAATCAATCAACAAGTACATGAAAAAATGCACACCATCTCTAGCAGTCAGAGAAATGCAAATCAAAACCACCCTAAGATACCATCTCACTCCAGTAAGATTGGCAGCCAGTATGAAGTCAAACAACAATAAGTGTTGGCGAGGATGTGGGGAAAAGGGTACACTTGTACACTGCTGGTGGGACTACAAATTGGTAAGGCCAATCTGGAAAGCAGTATGGAGATACCTGGGAAAGCTGGGAATGGATCCACCATTTGACCCAGTTTTTATCGCCTTCCTCGGACTATTCCCTGAGGATCTTAAAAGAGCGTACTATAGGGATACTGCCACATCAATGATCATAGCGGCACAATTCACAATAGCTAGACTGTGGAACCAACCTAGATGCCCTTCAATAGATGAATGGATAAAAAAAAATGTGGCATCTATACACAATGGAGTACTACGCAGCAATAAAAAATGACAAAATCATAGAATTTGCAGGGAAATGGATGGCATTAGAACAGATTATGCTAAGCGAAGCTAGCCAATCCTTAAAAAACAAATGCCAAATGTCTTCTTTGATATAAAGAGAGCAACTAAGAACAGAACAGGGAGGAAGAGCATGAGGAAAAGATTAACATTAAACAAAGACGAGTGGGGGGAGAGAAAGGGAGAGAGAAGGGAAAGCATATGGAAATGGTAGGAGACCCTCAATGTTACACAAAATTACATAGAAGAGGATATGAGGGGAAAGGGGGGGGGGAAACAAGGGAGAGAATTGAACAACAGCAGATGAGGTAGAGAGGGATGATGGGAGGGGAGGGGAGGGGGGATAGTAGGGGAAAGGAAAGGTAGCAGAATACAACAGTCACTAATATGCCATTATGTAAAAAATGTGAGTGTGTAACCGATGTGATTCTGCAATTTGTATTTGGGGTAAAAATGGGAGTTCATAACCCAATTGAGTCATATGTATGAAAGATGATATATCATGAGCTTTGTAATGTTTTGAACAACCAATAAAAAAAATTTAAAAAAAAAGATAACCATGGAGGAAAGCTATGAAGAGACTATCAACAGAACTTCCAAGAAACATGGGATAACCTGAAAAGACCAAATTTAAGATTTATCAGAATACATGAAGGCATGGAAATACAAACCAAAGGAATACACAATCTTTTCAATGAAATAAAACCTGAAAATTTCCCAAAACTAAACAATAAAATGGAAAATCAAATACAGGAGGCTTGCAGGACCCCAAATATACAAAATTACAACAGACACACACCAAGGCATATTATTATGAATATGCCTAACATACACAATAAGGATAGAATTTTAAAGGCTGTCAGAGAAAAACAACATGTCACATTTAGAGGAAAACCAATCTGGATCTCAGCTGATGGCTCAACACAGATCCTCAAAGCTAGGATGTCTTGGAATTATATACCAAGCTCTGAAAGAAAATGAATACCAGCCAAGAATACTATACCCATGAAAATTAAGTTTCAGGAATTATGATGGAATAAAAGCCTTCCATGATTAAAAAATTTAAAAGAATTTACAACTAGAAAGCCTTACAAACATTCTCAATAAAATATTTCATGAAGAAGAAATGAAAAATAAAAGTGAACCAGCAAAGGGAGGAACTACACTAGAAAAATAGTTAACCAAGGAGAAACTAATTCAAATTAAAAACTAGAAATAAATCAAAATGACAGGGAATAAAAATCATTTCTCAATAATAGCACTGAATGTAAATGGCCTAAACTCATCAAATCAAAAGACACAGACTGGCAGATTGGATTAAAAAACAAGGCCCAACAATATGCTATCTCCAAGAGAGTTACCTTATAGGCAAACAACATCCACAGACTAGAGGCAAAAGGATGGGGAAAAGCATCATTCACACAGATCTCATAAACAAGCAGGTGTTTCTATCCTCATATCAGATAAAGTGGACTTCAAGCCAAAGTGAATCAGAAAAGACCGAGAAGGTCATTTCATACTGCTTAAGGGAATTATACATCAACAAGACATAATAACCGTACATATTTATGCCCCGAATAGGGGAGCATCTATGTACATCAAACAATCCCTTCTCAATTTCAGGAATCTAATAGACTACAACACAATAATACTGGGAGACTTTAACATACCTCTCACCACTAGAAGATCCTCCAAACAAAAACTAAATAAAGAAGCTACAGAACTAAAAACTACAATTAGTAATTTAGACTTAAAAGATATATAGACTATTTCATCCATCAATAACTAAATAATCTTTCTTTCAGCAGCACACACATTCTTCTCTAAAATAGACCATATCTTAGGCCACAAAGTAACTATTAGCAAATACAAAAAAAAATAGACATAATACCTTGTATTCTATTAGATCATAATAGAATGAAATTAGAAATCAATTATAAAATTAAAAATAGAAGCTACTCGAACACCTGGAGACTAAATAGTACTCTATTGAATGACCAGTGGATAGCAGAAGAAATAAGGGATGAAATTAAAAGATAATTAGTGCAAATTGAAGATTTGCACAACGGGAGCCTCTTCAAGTAGACTTCTATGCCCTAGAGACATGTTCCCATCATTTTTTTTTTTTTTCAAACACATCCGTGTTTTCTCATTCAACAAGATTTTTCAGGTCCATATTATCTTTTTCCAACCCCATCTCTGGAATCAGCCCTTTCTCC